AAAGCCATGCAGTCTGAAGGAATTGAAATGAAAAAAACGAAGAACAAAGGAGATAACAAAGGAAACTGGAGGTCAAAGGAGATCTGCTTATTTATCACCCTTGACCTTCTTCTTTAACCAGCCGAAGAACCCGCTCTTGCGCTTTTCGGCTTTCTCGGCCTTCACCTGTTCGACCTTATCCTTGCCTTCTTGTTCGACCTTGGCGAGGTTGTCGCGTGCAGATTGCTCCGCCTTGCCAGCGGCCATCTTGGCCTGTTCGGGCTTTTTGATGACGGATTCGGGTGCTTGAGCGGCTTGTTGGTCGGCTGTGGCGGCTTTGTCGGCGGGTGCTGCTATTCCGGGTGCGGCGGCACCGGCGGCGGCTTCGGGCTTAGTAGGTTCGGGATGAGCTTCGGGTTTAGGCTCCGGCTTGGTTTCCGGCTTGGTCTCCGGCACAACCTCCTTAGGCGCCTCAGCGGCCTTCTCCTTAGCGACCTCAGGAGCGGCGGTGACAGGGGCCGCAGCAGGCTCAGCAGCCGGAGCAGTGGTAGCGGGAGCGACAGCAGCAGGAGCAGCAATCTCTGGCTCTGCCACCTTTTCAGGTTGAGCGGGAACTGCTTCCGTCGCAGGGGCTTCAGCAACCCTGGTCTCTGTAGCAGCCGCAGCAGCGGGCTCAGAGTCGACCGGCGCAGCAGCAATCTCTGGTTCCGCCACCTTTTCAGGCTGAGGGGGAACTGCTTCCGTCGCAGGGGCTTCAGCAGCCCTGGTCTCTGTAGCAACTGCTGCAGCGGGTTCAGCATCGACCGGCGCAGCAGCAGGGGCAACGACAGCGGGGGCCGCGGCCACGGCCGCAGCTGGAGCCTCCTTGGTAGCGTTCACATCGGCCACTTCCTTGCCACCTGTAGCAATATCCTTAGACTCCTTGTGCAAGTCCTTGGTCTCGTCCGAATTGAGGCCTGAAACGACCTGGCCAGCAGGCTCAGCCTCAGGCTCAGCATCAGCCGGTTCACCCTCCACTTTGGGCATTTTGGGAGGTTTCTGCTCCTCCTTGAAGAATAAAGGGGTCTCGTAGGGGCGCTTGGTGTGGATCGCCTCGGCATTATCAGCGGGTGGCTGGGTGGTTTCTCTAGGGCGTTCAGGAAGCGTTGTAACTGGAGCTGTCTCCTCGGCCACCGGGGCGGATGGTGTCTCTATTGTCTCGGTGGGTTTGGTAACGGTCTCAGGGGCAGAGATCAATGTCGACTCCTTGGCAGTCGCTTCAGGCAGGACAACTGTTCTCCTTTAATATAGGCACGGCGCATATTTTAGGGGGAATGTGTTACCTGCACCCTCCTGTTCCCCACCATCGAGAGTCGCAATATGACCCTCCTTGGAAGCCTGCACCTTTTCAACAGCCTCCTGCACACTGTCTTTCTTGACAACCTCTGCGATCTCCGGCTCGGGCTCTGCAATGGGCTCTGCAATGGGCTCTGCAATGGGCTCTGCAATGGGCTCCGCAATGGGCTCCGGCGCGGGTTCCGACACGGTCTTTTCAGCCTCCTTCACCGGTTCAGCCCCCGCGGACTCAGGCGCGGCCGTAGGAATCTTCGAAGTGGTATCGGGAGCAATGGTGGCGGTTGAATCAGCCGTCGCGGAAGCAGGCGCGTCCTTGGCCTCGGTTGTCTTCTCAACTTCGCCTTCGGCCTTTGCGACATTCTCTTCGACCTGGTGACCGGGGGTTCTGCAGGCGACTTTGTTAGCTTCCGTCCTGGTGCTTTCTCTCTAGAATCACAGCGCATACGCGCAGCATGCGCGCAACTTACAAGGTCTCTTTGACATCAGTGGCGACGTTCTTGGGGGCAGCCGCTGCGGCAGCCTTGGCCTTGGACTTGGCCTTGTTTTTTCCACCTTTCTTGGGCATCTTGCTTGAACTGGGAGGTGTCAGTTGCAGTTCTGCAGTGATAACGCACGGATATGACAGTGATCAACGTGGCTGTCAAGTTGCCACGTATGGGGGTGGTTTGTGTGGTGTCGCGTGGTGAAGCGCACAGAGAGAAGGAAGTGAGATCCGGGAGGAAAAAAGCGAAATACGCAGAACTTTAAGGGAATGGGACGCAACTTACTCAAAAGAGGCACGCAACAGTAGGGAGAAGGGCGTTGAAAGCAAGCTGGGGAGGAGGGAGGAGGAGGACAGAAAGAAAAAAAGAAAGGGATGGGTTGTTTGGTTTCTGTTGTCGGGGAACGTTAATCCGGGGTCTATGCTGGATTGAGCAACGCTAAGTGTACTCTATACTAGAGTATATAGACTGAACAGTAGGACTGTTCCTTTATTCCGAGTGTCTGGATATAATAAAAATAAAATCTCTCGCAATCATCACCTCCATTGTGTCTGATTGAGTCAGCACGTCCAGATCAAAGGGTTCCAACAGTTTGCCAGGGCCACAGGGCTGGAATGTAGGGACGGGGGTGGATTCCGCAGTTGTGTTTATGTCTACTTAGTAGCTGTGTTTGTGTCTGTGTATGTGTCTATGTCTATATACTGTACAAGTACCCGTGTATGTCCTCTATCAATCTCTGAAGGTTCTGTCAATTTATGCATCCGGCGATCCGGTCGCGTGCCTGCAGCAGCACGAAGAATACTCATTGGTTGTCCACGTGGGGCATGCCAGCTCTGCGAATCTATCCGATTTATATCTGACTTGTATTCAGAATATTCTGTGCTAGTGTTATGATCATTCCAGACAGGAACATATTACTGAATGGGGAATCCCAGGAACGCTTTCAAGCGGATTACATCATCCTTCCGCGTTCAGGTCGATGATGATATCGAGGCTGAATAGGGATAAAGTGATGACAGCTGCCAAGTGCTTACCAGTGCATCTCTTATTTGACCAGTATCCCTACATTGGGTGTGCCAAAACCGCCTTATGTTTATTCGCCTTCCAGATGATTCTTACATGAGGCAGCTGAATAACAGCAACTGAATAACAGCAACTGAATAACAGCAGCTGAATATGTATCGACACGCAACGCTATAAAAAAGGAATATATAGTGACATCATGTCTCACGCTCACCGCAATCAGAAGACATGTCATTTTTGGAGTACCCCAGATGGAGTTGCTGCACTGTTCTCGTTTACAAGTACAGTTGAATTATACAGCAAAAACAAAAAGAATGACCGACGCAGGGGTCGAACCTGCAATCTCTTGATTCGTAGTCAAGCGCCTTACCATTGGGCCAGCCGGCCTTGTTGACATTAATTCTACTTAATTAATTAAATATTGCAAATATAAAAAATTAACCGGAAGCAGCGTGCCGAGTGGAGGCGCTGGCGGGGCAGAGCGCATTGGCACCCACCGGAACCCACCGGACTAAACCGGTTTAGGGGGAGAAGTGACGTTGGAGGTTCTAGTCCTATTCGACAAACCATGGTCCGTATTGTTACGATAACGTACGGTACCTTGGATGTTCTCTGCTGACCTTGTCGATCGGAATGCGTTGGCCGTTCTGGAATCCTTCTTTGCATTGCCACCTGTTCTCTATTGCCTGTACGAGAGTACAGAGAACAGATTACTACAGTTGAATCTTATTCATATCTATAGGAGTAGGCAATATATCGAAGAATTATGTGCAGCAATACGAGTAATAATCATATAATCTAGTACTGTATTCTAGAACCTGTATGATTGCAACATTGTGGGATGTTACATAGGGCGTATTGTAACTTTTTCCGGCTACCCTATGGGGCAACTTGGATACCGTACCGTACAGTATGCAAAGAGTAACTCCGGAATCTCCGCCCGCTTATCGAGGATAATGCGGGATTATGACTACGCCCGATTACTATTTTGATTCTTATTGCCCAGATTTCCTCTTTTCTTCTTTTCTTCTGCCCTCTATCTTTCTAGACCAAAGGACCTCTCCTCTCACCATACTGCTCTGTATACTCACAGCGATGATCCCACGGGATTCCCGCTGCATCGTTCCTCGCCTGTGCTTGCACACCCTCCCCCGCGTCTCCCTGCTTGGGACTCGTCTACTGCCGTAAACGCTCCGACTTGACGCTATTCGTTCTCGCCTCAAATTGTCTGGACTCGACGTGCCCTATATCCCTGTCACGTATCATTCCTTTCCACCATATCCAACAACACAATCAAAATGGCGCTTCGAGACAGAGTTAAACGAGTTTTCCGCCGCTCCTCGCTCACAACCGCCCCCAAGACCAACCGGAATGGCATCAAGATCGAATACTACCGTCGCAATGAGGTTCCCAAATCGAAATTCAAGGGGCCGTTCGATCCAGAGCACCAAAAACAACTGGCAGCATGGTCTTTCCAGACGGCCACAGCTGAGCGTCCACGTTCGCAAGACATTTCGCTCTCCCCGTGTACCTCGTTACCCGACTACATAAGACCGCCACAACAAAATCGACCCCAGGAGGATGAGGAAATTGCTCCAGATCAAGTGACAGAAGAGCCTGCTCCAGATGTGGATGTCATGGACAGTAAGTTTTCAATGTACTTGGCTTTTCTTATCAAAAATATTGACCAATTAGCGTCTCCTACTGTCACTCAGGTTGAAGACACCCAACGCCAGGCGGATGGGGGTTCGCAATCTTCCACCATGGTCGATCCCGACAGTTACAGCGGCTCGATGATGACCCTGCTTCCCGAAAACCACCGAGACGGTTCAATATGCAACATCAAAGAAACCATTCGTTACACTTCTCCCGTCTTACGAACCGCCTCTCCCCCACCCATGTCGCCGAAGGGTGCCGCCTACATGCCATTCTCTCCTGACGATCTGACACGAGCGTTGAACGCAGTGCAGATCTATTAACCAATTACATCCTTTTATTTGTGACATTACCAACATCTGGCATTCTCGCGGACACTGGTGTGCGCTGTATTCCTTTTACGACTGATCTGTCCGACTTTGAACTCTGGGCATTCTTTTTACGACTTCCTGTACCGCTTCAGATCCGGTAAAGGCGTGAACTGGCGTTGCTTGCATTGTTTGTCGTTTGACAAGCACCCCTGGGCTTTTTGTTTGCTTTGCTTTGTTTTGCTTGTGTATGCATTCGAGCGTGTATACCCGTTATGGAGGTTCTTTTTGTTTCAGTCATGCATGCATGGTCCGAGTCGGCCACTGCCACGCAATTCTTTCTCTTCGCTGTATCTATGCTGCTAGAATTTAGATCTGTACTTGAATTTACGCATCTAGAAGTATCAGTTACCCCATACACCGTATCCGTGCACAGATAGTGAATAGTACCCCATAGTACTTTGTTAACCCGCCAGCACCGACCATCCTCTGCCCCGGCTTGTCATCCCCATTCTCCATTCTTGGCAACTATCACCCCCGCCAAGACAATAGCAACCCTCGTTGGTCGCCTAACACCTGACGTGCCAATCGTGATCGACCGGGCGAACTTTGTCGCTAGGAGGCGTAGTTTATGTAGTACGGCATAGTCCATACTCAGGGGTTGTCTGGTGATATTTAACTATCGATGGGTACTATGTGCGTATTCCGTACCATGTGTGTACTGTGTATACTGTGTGGAGAGGAATGGGGTTCGATGGGGTTCTGCGAGTACGAAGGAGGGGCATCGGGGTCGAGGCTAGTCGGATGGTTGGAATAATACGAGTACGAAGACGGAGGGCTTCCGAGGGATCCTAGTTGTAAATGTGTGGAAACAAAATGAATTGAGGATATCTAACTTTTGACCAATCATGAACTCCCATCAGATATATATCCGCGCAGTTCTGTCAACGAACAAACAGTACAAAAGAATGTACGTTACTCTTCCTGCGTAACTGTCATATCCAGAACCTCCACTCTACCCCTACCACGAGTCTCATTGCCCACAAACTCATTCAACCCTTTGTAAGCTCCCGGATCCGCAAACCCAACGACTTCCCATTCATCACCACCGATGACTTCTTGTGTTTCGACAGATTCAATGTAGCTTAGGATCTTATCCTTAACGGTGCCCGGTGTTTTTGTTGGTGTTTCTACCTCGGAGTCTTTAGATTGTTTCGATTCCTTCGCAGGTGGTGCGGGTGTGTCGAGTTCATCGTCTGAATCGCCCTTGCGTGATTTTTTATTGCCTTTCCCGCCTTTCTTGTTCTTCGGTTTCGATGACCCTCCGCCGCTAGGTGCTTCTTCTTTCTTGCCTTCGCTGCCGCCGTTGGCCCCAGGTGCAGCTTTGATGGCTTGCTTGAGTAGATTTACAGGACAAGTAATCCGTAGACGCATCCGAGCTCGCATAACAGGAATCGGCTGCCACGCAATAAGAGCCTTCATAGCCTCCAACGCCTGACTCTTCGCCGATTTATTCGGATCAACGCCCCTCCACAACGGTTTCCGCGGCGCTGCCACCCTCCCCTCCTCATTCGCAGCTTCCACCTCGGCACTCTGTACCTGCGCCTGCTGCCCACTTGCCGAGCTTAACTGATCCAACGCCTTCGAAATCATCCCCGACGTGTACACCCTCTTCGTCCCCGGATCGACTACCCGCCCGGACACAATATCCAGCATCTCCTTTTCGACGCGCTCTTGGATCTCTTTGCGCTCGCGCTCGCCGACTTGGACTTCGCCTTTGCGGAGAATTTCTTGTCGGATTTCATCCTGGGGGGTGGAGGGGCCAAAGGACTTGGCTAGTTCGGCGGAGGGGGCTGTTTGGGCTTTTGAGACTGAGAGGAAGATAGTAGGGACTTGGAGAACATTGTCGAGGTCTTTTTCGGCGCCGGAGCGGTATTCGAGCAGTTTGTTTTTGTAGCAGGCTAGTTCGAAGCGTTTTTTGCCTGTTCATTCAGTTAATATCTGATTGTAGAAGGTGAGAGGGGGGGCTACCCTTCTTCAGTCGCACGACTGAGACGTTGGTGAATTTGATCTGATTGGAGGGTTGGTTGATAGGCATTTTGGCGTTTAGAGACTGCGTTATCTCTCTATCTCTATGTTGACAGTAGAAAGATGCCCTGCTCAAAAATCAAAAATATCATACAATGACGCAGGCCTGACTCAGCCGGATGTGTTGTTTATCCGCCAGCCGCCGCCCTGAGCGCTGATTGGCTGCCTCCCTATCACCTCGGGCATGCTGTTGGAGTCGTCATGTCCGAACCGGCGTCCATCGCATCATCTGACCTCCTCTTCCTTTCTCCATTTCTTCCATTTCATCCTTTCCTTTCCTTTCTTCATCTCCATCTTCCATTCAGTTACTGGATGGTTCATCAATCAGCCATCTATCTGTGATTAACTACACTGTATGTTGCCCACCCATCTCTAGCCTGATACAGATACTGATAAGCTGCCTACAATCTAGACCGCCAAGGTCCCTTCGTGCCTGGTTCCGTGTTATCCAGCCAGGTCATCATCATCTCCTCACAATCATCAATAATCGAGTCAAGTGCACACACAATGAGACTCCTCCCAGCTACCATGCTGGTGGGCGCGGCCACTGCGGCTGTCCCCTTCCAGCAGATCATCTCCTCGCCCAAGAAGGCCTCCGAGAGCTTCTCCGAGAGCCTCTCCAAGCCGCTCCACAGCTTCCAGGAGCAGCTCGAGACCCTGTCCGACGAGGCTCGCAACCTCTGGGATGAGGTCTCGGCTAAGTTCCCTGAGACCATGGGCCACAATCCGCTCTTCTCGCTGCCCAAGAAGCATACTCGTCGTCCGGACTCCCATTGGGACCACGTTGTTCGTGGCGAGGATGTTCAGGGCGTGTGGGTTACTAATGAGAATGGAGAGAAGGAGCGTGAGGTTGATGGGAAGCTTGAGGCGTATGATCTCAGAGTCAAGAAGACGGATCCTGCTTCTTTGGGGATTGATCCTGGTGTTAAGCAGTACACTGGGTACTTGGATGACAATGAGAATGACAAGCATTTGTTCTACTGTGGGTGATCCCGTTGTTCGCTGAATTTTTGCAGATGCTGACTTGCCAGGGTTTTTCGAATCTCGCAACGACCCTGAGAATGATCCTGTTGTTCTCTGGTTGAATGGTGGCCCTGGCTGCTCGTCTCTCACCGGTCTGTTTTTGGAGCTGGGCCCTAGCAGCATCGGTGAGAACATCAAGCCGATTTACAATGACTACGCCTGGAACTCCAACGCCTCTGTCATCTTCCTTGACCAGCCTGTCAACGTCGGATACTCGTACAGTGGTTCGCCCGTCAGTGACACGGTGGCTGCTGGCAAGGATGTCTATGCCTTGCTCACACTCTTCTTCAAGCAATTCCCTCAGTATGCGAAGCAGGACTTCCACATTTCTGGAGAGTCGTACGCTGGTCACTACATCCCTGTTTTTGCTTCCGAGATCCTGTCTCACAAGAAGCGTAACATCAACCTTAAGTCCATTCTAATTGGTAACGGTCTCACCGACGGCCTCACCCAGTACGATTACTACCGCCCCATGGCTTGTGGCGAAGGTGGCTACCCGGCTGTCTTGGATGAGTCCAGCTGCCAGTCCATGGACAATGCCCTGCCCCGCTGCAAATCCCTGATTGAGACATGCTACAACACCGAGAGTGCCTTCCTGTGCGTTCCCGCTTCAATTTACTGCAACAACGCCCTCATTGGCCCTTACCAGCAAACTGGACAGAACGTCTATGATGTCCGCACCCAGTGTGATCCTGGGACCGACCTGTGCTACAAGGGCATGGACTATGTCTCTGAGTACCTGAACAAGCCCGAGGTTCGCGAGGCCGTTGGTGCTGAGGTCCAGGGCTATGACTCGTGCAACTTTGACATCAACCGTAACTTCCTGCTCCACGGTGACTGGATGAAGCCCTACCATCGCCTGGTCCCCGACCTTCTTGAGCAGATCCCTGTCCTGATCTACGCTGGTGATGCCGACTTCATCTGCAACTGGCTGGGCAACAAGGCCTGGACCGAGGCTCTCGAGTGGCCCGGCCAGGAGAAGTACGCTGCTGCCGCCTTGGAGGACATTGAAGTCGTGGACCACGAGCACAAGGGCAAGAAGATTGGCCAGGTCAAGTCCCACGGCAACTTCACCTTCATGCGTCTCTACGGCGGAGGCCACATGGTTCCCATGGACCAGCCTGAGGCCGGTCTGGAGTTCTTCAACCGCTGGATCGGCGGTGAATGGTTCTAAGCTGGTCGCAGTACAGCTAGACCTGGCGTTAACAGTATTGCAATAATGCTTTGAATGTTATACTCGCTCATGTGTACACATTGGATTTGTTTTATGGCTTGCAATGATGGCTTGCTGATATGGTTGAATGTCTTTACTACAGATACGTTTGGACTTTAATAGCTGCAATGAACGGATTGATAAGATATGGCCCTGAGTACCTGTAGATGTACTTTACTGGGATCGGAGTCTTCCGACCGGGCTAAGACTATCGTAGCATAATCCGAGAGTATTATGGCGAATGAAGATGCCGACTTTCATATGAATTAGACATGCAGAAACGGTATCATACGGAGTACTGTAAGCTGAATTTACAAACTAGAAATAAATCCCACTCCACTTGACAGGGCCAGACTCATGGTTAGTAAATCATGTAACTAGCTTGAGTACGGCCTAGACTAGATAGAGCCCGGACACAAGACCATCTGCAATGTATATATACATACTGCAGTGTCCATACCGTAGAACAAGAAAATAGACAAGCAAAGGAAGCGTATTTGAAAATCTTCATTCATAAATGTATGCTTTTCGCTTTTTGACCAGGCCATTGATCCATTCTACAGATCCCAGTCCGTCCCAGTCCCCATGAAAGCCGTCGATACCAACGTACACAGTACTGTAGCCCATCAAATAACACCGACGAGTGACAAAATCACGAAAAGGAACTTGATATTGAAAAAATTGAATTGTTTTGATATGACCCTCTCGAATGTCGTACACAAAAAAAGAATAAAGCGAGATAATTTAGCCCTTCTTCTTGCTGACACCGACGGTACGGCCACGGCGACCGGTAGTCTTGGTGTGCTGACCACGCACACGCAGACCCCAGTAGTGACGCAGACCACGGTGGGAGCGGATACGCTTGAGACGCTCGAGATCCTCACGGACCTTGCTGTCGAGGGAGTTGGAGACGACCTGGGAGTCCTTGCCGTCGGCGATGTCGCGCTGTCTGTTCAGGAACCATGTGGGGATCTTGTACTGGGTGGGGTTCTGGAGGATGGTGACCACACGCTCGAGTTCTTCAGTGGTGAGTTCACCAGCGCTGTTTGATTATCAAGTTAGTTGTCTTTCTCTGTTATCTCCGTGTTGTTGCCATATCAAATTCCCGTAGATTTGGACCTCGAATTCACGTATTCTGTATCGGAGACGACGTACCGCTTGCTGAGGTCAACATCGGCCTTCTTGCAGACCAAGTTGGAGTAACGGCGACCAACACCCTTGATCTGGGTCAAGGCGATCATGATCTTCTGCTTGCCGTCAACATTGGTGTTGAGCAGACGCAAGATGTACTGGAAGTTCGTCTTCTCGTCGGGCACGAGCGCTGTCATTTCAGTCCGTTAGCTTCCCTTCCACTTTCGATATCAATATCCCCATCCATATCCCCATTCATAATTCCAACTCGAGCCCAAAATTCCCCCCGACAAATCCATAGAAAGCGAAATCACAGCAAGCGAGAGCAGCGAGGGCAACGTACACATGATGGGCGATGGGCGCGACGGTACGCGATAGGTTGTCGACAGCGAGAGGGATGGAAGGAGAGGAGGTAAAAGTCGGCCGCTGGGCTTTGCCAACTTTGCTTTCCCCGATTGTGGGATCGGGTAAGCAGGTCGCTAACCGCATATGGAATAGTGTACTGAGGGCTCGCTTGGAGGGACACTAGTACTAAGAAGGTTAAATTAGTGGTCTGGTTAGTCAGCGCACGTGATTTTGTTGCCCTGCTTTCGGTCTCATAGAACTGTCGTTGTTATGCTCTTCAATGTAAACCATCAGTATTGTCTGCAAATAGCACTGATTAATATCCTTGTTTTAAATTTTCTTTGGCAGAATTAAAATTAAGTAATATTATTGCTCGTGTTTCAACAATGCAATAAAGCAATTGCCGTACAATGATTCTCAAGAGCTGTCTCTTTCAAGGAAACTGTCGACAGAATAGTCCCATCAAACTCGTTGTTTCTCTTGTCCTGTGGTCAATGACAGGACAAAAGCGTCAGTCCCGTAAGATGCTGACCATTGCTATGAATCGAGGATTCGTCTAGATTCATTGATACGTCTTTCATGTCATTTCCTAGTCTAGACAATAGCCGGCATTGGTCCTGGAGTATTTAAGCATCATGATATCCAGGGTCGCTGCTCTTCACCTTCAGAAACATAAAGTTGCTGTGCAAACCATGATATTCTAACAAACGCCAACCTATCAACCATCGCTATCAGAATGGACCCCAACGTCCCCTTAATTCTCCGCCATGACCCACCCCTTAAACCTAAACACCCTCTCTAACCCTCCTTGCCTAATATCTCTCTGGGGCGAAACCCCCGAAGAAGTAGCTAAAGAAATACTCCGCTCAGTCGTCGACGCAATCTTCACTTTCCACTTTTGGGGCATGGACTCCTGCGTCTACGGCCGCGTGACCAGTGCCCGGATGCTACGCGCGTTGATGAAGCTGTTTCATCATATGAATGAGATGCATAAGCCGAGGAACTGAGTGGAGGCTTGTAATTTTATGAAGGATGCTGGTCCGAGATTGCTTTCTTGTGCTGTTGCGAGGGGTGTTGTGCCTGCTAGTAGATGGTATCCGGACCCGCCGGTGCTTGGTGTGGGAACGGGCGTCGGGTTTATAAGGCCGAGACATGCGTTGGGGTTATTGCCGGATGTGTATGTGGAGAGGATGTTATTGGCGAGTTCTTCGGTGCAGGGTGAGCCGACAGGTTCAGGTCAGGAAGACAATGGTGATGAAAATGGAAATGGAGATGACGATGGCGATGCCCAAATGCAAGATGCAACCATGACTGACCCTACGTCCAACTTCACCGACATCGGCAGCTTCATCCATCTTCCACCAGTCCAGCACCATCCCATGTTCGAAGCAGTCGAATGAGCCGTCATGCAGTTTGCCTACGCAGACCTCGAGCGCGATCCCACCGCAACTCGTAGATCCCCTCGTCCACAGCTCCTCGCTACATGCGAAGACGATCTCTATAGATTCATCGTCTCCTCTGTCCCCGCTACATCCCAAAATAGCCATCAGCGACACAATGATCAACGAGGTAAGTTTCAGCCCAACCGGAAACCTCTTCTCCTACCGCGGCCACAGCCCCATCTTGCAGGATAACTCGTGCGCTGTTGACTGTGCAATCGGCGTAGGAAAGCTCCTAGACGCCGGATTCACATTCTATGATCGCAAACAACCAGGCTGGACCACCCGTCTCTCCCGCGCAGAAAAGGCTTTCATCGATGCCACAGACGCAAACTGGGACGTGCTCTCCCGCGACGAAAGTACCACTCTCCGCGATACTCTAAAACGTACTCGCTGAAGAATTCGCAGCCATCAGAGTCGACCGGTTCAACTCCGTCTGGAGCGTCTGGGCCACGGCGACGACTAGCATCCGTCAATTCCAGTTCTCCTGCATCGAGACGATAATGTACTGTTCATGTCGCCGGGCAGATCAAGCCCCATCGACTTCGACTTCCTTCCAGTCATCCTTCGTCACGCCACCTGTCCACCCAAGTGACAAAGACGGCCTCTCCATCCAAGAAGTCATCTCCCGCCCCTTCGCCCCAGGTTCTCTATTCCCCTGCCGCGACTGCTCCCTCGAAGATGCAGTTATCCGCGAATGCAGAATAACATCCCTTCCACTCATGATTGTCACCCTCGACGAGCGCGTGACCGTCAACAACCACACACAGGGCTTTTCATTCTCCTACCTTGACTCCAACGGCGTGCCCCAAACCGCTACATATGGCTGGCTCGGGAGCGTTTATATGCATAACAACCATTTCCGCGTGTGCTGGACTGACGAAAACTGCGGGGAGACTAGTGAGGGCGCGGTGAAGATGTACGATGGCATGCAGAGCGCAGGGGCTATCGCTGGTGGTATTTCACCATATCGGGCTGACGAGAGGGTGCTGCCAAATTGGTTCCGGGGGCGAACTATTCTGCTGCTTGTTTATGAGAGGGTTATCGATCCGCAGCCCGAGGTGCTGAATGGTGCTATGCATGCGGTTTGTAGGATGATGAATGCATCGGTAGCTGGCGTGTCGGTCTTGAACGGTCATGTTCCGTGGGCTGCATCGGGGGAGGCCCAGGTGCAAGGTAGGGCGTGGAATCCTATTCTGTAGATATTCGCGAATAGATTTCAGGTATTCCTACCCTTTACACCCCACCAATCACAATTGACGACCCTATGGTTTCTTCTACAGCTGACATCCAGGCTCTACCTAAGATCCAAGTCCAAATCCGAGACAAAACCAACCCGCCAATCCCCTCAATCGAAACTCCCTACACCCTATCCCCCTCCAAACCCTAACCACACCCACCTCCCCATTCAAAATCTCCACCACTCTCCCGGTAAATATCCCCATTACTCAGCGTCTAAATCTCAGTAATAACATCTTCCTTCCTAGTGCAGACCCCGGTCTAACAGGCATCGTTGGACCAGCGAGTATGACTCCTGGAGCTGGGTGGTACGTGCCGGGTGGGTTTTTATGGACACCGACGCCGCCGGAGCGGGAGGGAAAGCGGGAGGTGAAGATGGAGATGGAGGGGCAGGGGCAGGAGAGGGGGAAGGAGGCATCGCCGGAGTGGAACACTTGGCTTAGGATGTCGCCAGATGCGTGGTCGAGATTTATTATGATTAGTAGCCCTGGGAGGAGGAAGACTAAGGGAAAGGATAGGAAGGATAAGGATGCGTAGGGGGAAAAGGTTGTTCAGGGAAGGGTTGAGAAGGGGAATGCTCAATTTATTCTGTGCTTATTCTGTGCTTATTCTGGGCGTTACTGGGCGTTACTGGGCGTTACTGGTGCCTTGTTATATATTTTTCTTATATCGTATTGCATATAGACTTGGGTAAATAGACTGGTAGATCATTATATTGTATAGCAAAACCTAGCAAACATGGTATTCTAAATCTAGTGTCCCAACCTGTACATCTAGCATTATCTCTAAACCCGAAACCCAAAACAAACAAAAAAGATTATAACTTGGCGCGCACTGGCCCCGTAGCCGTGTCACTCTTCTTCGGAGCAGAAAGATATCCACCCTTGACATTGTCAGTGTTGACAATGGCATCCTTTTCATCCCGCCGAATACCAAGCTCAATCAACTTAGCAAACACCTTGGCGAAATCCTCAAAGAACAAATCCTTATCCTCCGCATACTTCTCAACCCACGTCCTAAACGACGGGTCCTCGATCAGCGCAACATCGGTCGGCAACATCATCAATGGCTCCTCATCCTCCTCCAAATCCGGATCCGCATAGACAAACTGACTCACGCCATTCGGCAAAGTCTTCCTCGTCCACTTCAACTTGAGCAACAACTTGAAGAACTGATTCGAAAACCGCGTCGGATTATTCACCCACGCCCCATGGAATCCACTCCGATCGATATGCGCGCGCCCCAGATTATGCGCCCCCGCCAACGCAACAATCTCCTGGTCATCAAACCCCATCCGATTGAAGATAAACCGCAAATGCTCTGCTCCCTGCGCGCCATCAGGCAACCGCCCGCGAGGAGGAACCTTGCTGTCATCAACTAGATCCGTGCGGCCGGGCTTCCATGGGATCTCAGGACCGCCCATCTCCTGGATCGCCACGACGCCGGATAGTGTCCATAGGTCGGAGTATGTGATCCAGGGGTGTTTTTGCTTGACGGGTTCGAGGAAGGCACGGCCATGTTGGAGGCCGGCATTGGCTGGGTCGCCGCCTTCGGCTTCGTAGCGCATGCCCGCGCCGTTGGAGCCGCCTGTGTCGGTTTTTAGATCGTAGGTGCCGGAGGAGTGCCTGTTGCGGTTGTCGCATTAGTATTAATTGGGTTTAGTTTGGAAGGGGATGGGAATTACCAGGCCAGGCGCACGAATACGGGACCGGTGCTGCCGTCATCGTAGTCTGGTTTCTTGAGTTGAGCGACGATGTCCTTGCGGACCGCGTCGTAGTCTCCGGGGGTGCTCATGTCGGCCGAGAGATAACGATGAGATAGGTGTCTTTAGGTGAACGAGAGGGAATGAAAGGAATCGCAATAGAAAGGGGAGGATATATTCAGAGAGATTCTTCAGTTAAAAGAAAAGAGGATGAAGGAGAAAAGGACAATTGCCATCGATAACTCTTTTCCCTTTCTTCCACATGAAGCGTGGACCCGCGGGTCTCAAATGCCGAGGTACCGGAGTTTACACTATTACATACTACAGTGTACTTGCACTATGCATTATCTACATAGTACAGCTACAAATGCAGTTGATACAATAAAGACACAGGATTGCTAATATAGAATTCTAGATCTATAAACCTAATCATATGCTTCTGCATAATCCTTGTTCTTGCAGGGCTCGAGCGCGTTTCTCTGGTTTTTGGTATGACCAGAAACCGACGGTCGCTGATTGGTCGAGGGGACCTCGGTAATCGGGTTGCCGAATACGGATATCACGGGGTATGGGGACCCCATACAACTACGGAGGAATGGATAGAGATTTGATAGAATAGCAGCTTTATGTGTGTTAACGCTTGCTATGGACTATGGGGCTCGATCGTGGTGAAAAATGCTGTTTCGTCTCCGTATATGCTGCTACGGAGTGTCCGAGATACATCCCTCGCCACCAACCAAACCAAACCAAAGCCTGGACATCCACGGATCCTGTAACTCCAGATCTGCTTAGAAAGAGCTCCGATTCATGTGACTAGCAACCGCTGGGAAGCAAAGGCCGGAAAACAGACAACCGAATAGAGTATATTGTAGTATCCGTACATCCCTCGTATAAAGTCATATATACGTGATTAGCAAAACACTTTATAAATCTTCTTCCACATCGGCCACGCTGCCTGCTCAGCACGCTCCTCCTCAATCAAATATTGAATATCCAAATCCCGCCTTCCAGTATGCAAATCCATATCCTTCGCGCGGATAAACGGCGTGCGATAATATATCTTATAAGGAATATAAAACGCCAACACAACAGGCGCCGCCAGATACACAGAGAAGAAATTATAAACTCTCTCCGAAACAGTCATCTCCCCATATGCAACTGGCGCAAATCCCACCCAGAACTGCGCTACCAGCACCAGGCAATTGAGGATGAATCCAGCATATGATCCAATAATTCCTGGTTGGGAGCGGAATGGTAATTCATTTAGGGAGCGCCCTTGTAGTTTCCAACTGCGGCGGAAGCGGATGTGGCATAGGCACACGGAGGCCCAGGTGAAGATGGAGGAGAGGCCGGAGATGGCTAACATCCATTCAAAGGCGACAGCCTGTTTGTCGGAGGCGGCTAGGAAGGCGAGCAGACCGAATGCTGATACAACAAGTAGTGACCATAAGGGTCGGCCCTTGCGGTCGATGTAGGCTAGGAATCGGGGTGCTTGGCCTTGCTCTGCTAGGGCTGCGAGTGTCCGGGAGGATCCGTAGACGGAGGAATTGCCGACTGATAAAACCGCAATCATAATTACGACGTTCATGATAGAGTCGAGGACTGAGATGCCGGCATTCTTGATTGCAATCACAAATGGGGAGGCACTGGCGTCGGCGTCGGAATCGCCTGACATGAGTTTCGGGTCATTGTAGGGCACCAAAAGGCCTACAATGGTAAGCGATACAAGGTAGAACAGAACAATGCGCCAGAAGACCTGTTTAATGGCCGTTGGAAGAGCTTTGCGAGGGTTGGCAGTTTCAGCAGCAGTTAGGCCAACGAATTCTGTGCCTGCAAAGGCGAAAGCAGCTTTGGCAAACACACTGCAAAGACCTTTGAACCCATTGTTAAAGGCCCCTGGGTTCTGCCAGTACTTCCCACCGATATACTCACCCTGAGGGCCTCCTCCGCAGTTAAGAACAATGCCAAGGATGCTTAGGGTCCTCGGTCAGCCCGGAATATATACACACGATATAGGGCAAAACTCACATGAACCCAACCACAGCAATAACCTTGATTAAAGAAAAAGCAAACTCTGCTTCACCATAGCCCTTGACACCAAATAGGTTAATCAGTACAATCAATATCCAAAATATAGCAACCCATGCAGCATTCGACACGTTTGGATGCCAGTAATCGACAGTTATCGAAGCAGCAACGATTTCCAGCGGAAGTGTCACCAGCCATTGCATAACATAGTTCCACCCCATACTGAAACCCCATGCTGGATCTATAAATCGCGTTGCATAGTGTGAAAATGAGCCGGCGACGGGGTAGAGAACGGCCATTTCACCTAGGGCATGCACGGTGCAGTACATCATGAAACCGATCAGTCCGTAAGCGATAAGCGAAGACGCCGGACCTCCAGTAGCCAGAACAGATCCGGAGCCCACAAATAGACCGGTACCTGGCAGAGAGTTAGTCAATTGCTGATATTGTCGTACGGAGGTATACCAGTAAGCCGCGCAAACTTCTGGTATAATATTCCGCACAGAAGCTCATAATCCCTTATTTTGATGGCTGAACGCACCGATGGATCCTCCAATAGCGATCATTTGCATATGGCGACCTTTGAGGCGTCGCTCCAGTGGGGAATTGGCTGTATTTTCCGCGGCATTTTCAACGTCCGCGCCGGGAACTGTGTTGGTCAAGGAGTTTGGATTAGGCTTGAAACTGTCCCATATTCTTCGGCCAATATTCGATTGGTGAACTTTAGTCTCGCCGTAGTCTGAGGCAGACTCGCTGGATGATTTCGTCGTGACTTTGTGAATCGTGTCGTCTGCCATGATGCGGTGCGCTTGTAATAGAGATGACAATTGGACGAAAGCCGGCGGTCGGCAAAAAGAAATAGAAAGGAGGGGAAAGAAAACATAAAAACGGAGGCACCTGGGGCTGAGATAATAAAATAGCTGCAAGGGAAACGTCCGGGATAAAAGTAGTCCGGCCACTACCCATGCGCTGTGAGGTAACACATATTCTGAACTTTCCTCCCCCCTCCTTCAAACATGCCGTATCACTTCTCTAGAAATTGACGCGATCAGCAGTCAAGTTCGTACCCCTCTTAGAACAGATATCCACATCTGAGACCATAATCCTCGAAGAGAGGAATGCAGTGCTGTAGAGGATGTTCTTGCTGCGGAAAGGAACCTAGAATCTGCAGCTATTGGATAAACAAAGTATGCCCGGTCCACCCCCGGTACGGTCCACCAAGAGGAACTTAGGGCATCCAGCAAAACGGTGGCAGGCCAATGGTCTTCTCATCTTAACCGGCCCGGTGGCTGATCTGAGCATGTCTGAGCGAGGTCACTATATGACTTTGAATGCCTGGTATGATGATGATGCACGTATCGTCCCGCTGTTATTGTCATAGTAAGTACTCTGACTTCAGGAGTACCTGGACTCTACCCAGTCCTTATTCGAGAGAACGCAGATTGGAACTCCCTGATGTGAAGCGAAGAGGGCTACTCTCTTAACATGGCCTCCACCACAGCCATACCAGCATCAGCACAATCGGGATAGCATTGATCGGTTCCCCGCATCAAAACGCGGAGAGATCTCCACATAAAAAGGTACAGAGATAGACATTTAGCTCATCTCTTGGAATTACCCTTTATGGAAGCGCATCTCACCGCCTTCTATTTTTGTCTTTTCCCCCTCTCTTTCTCACGCTGTCACTCTCTGCCTCTCTACTCCATAGATAGTAGTCTATTTTCTTTATCTTGTCCTATTTGGCTCTACAATTCAATTGGTTTTACGTTTCGATTCTCTAATACTTTATCAGACGCTCGCGTATTGCTGCTGCTTGCCGCGCTCGTTACCCCACCTTCCACCGCCAAAAGATATTCTTCCCTCCGAAATTTATACACTTGCGATATCAAAGTCACATTTCAATATTCAGAACAACAATGCCGTCCCTCCAAGAAAGCAAGCTCGCCTTCATTGGCGGTGGTAACATGGCCTCGGCCATTATCACAGGTCTCGTCGGCCAAGGCGCCAACAAGCAGAACATCACCGTCTCAGAACCATGGGATGTCAACCGCGAGAAAATTGCAACGATTGGAGTTCAAACTACAACTTCCAACGTTGAAGCTGGAAAGGAAGCGGACCTTATTGTCATTGCCGTCAAGCCCCAAGTCGCCAAGGGCGTGTGCAAGGAGCTTGGTGAGGCCTGGTCGCAGCGCGCAACTCTGCCGGTTGTTGTTTCCATTGCTGCGGGAATCACTCTTGTGAGCTTGGAGGAATGGCTTAAGACGAGTGATGGAAGGACACCGCATGCTGTTCGTGTTATGCCAAACACTCCTGCATTGGTTAATGAAGGCGCTTCGGGTGCTTTTGCTAGTAAAGATGTGACGGATGATGAGAGAGCGCTTGTTGATGCACTTCTCGGAAGTGTGAGCAAGACCATTGAATGGCTGAGTGACGAGAAGCTGCTGGATGTGGTGACAAGTTTGTCCGGTAAGTTGAGAATTGCAATAGCAGGAAATGAGCCAAGCTAAGGCTGATCAGGATCGGGACCTGCGTATTTCTTCGCCATGGTTGAACATCTCATCACCAGTGCCACTCAATTGGGACTTTCACAAGAGCAGGCTACTAGGTTAGCTACGCAGACATGTCTCGGAGCCGGCAAGATGCTTGTTGAATCTTCGGATGAACCCGCCCAGCTGCGCAAGAACGTTACCAGTCCCAACGGCACCACGCATGCCGCACTCCAGACGTTCGAAGCCCTGGGCTTCAAAGATATTGTGGACAAGTCTGTCAAGGCAGCAGCGGCTCGGGCCGAAGAGTTGGGGAACTCTCTTGGGTAAATAGACATGATTAGTTGATCCTGAACTATCATTCTGCCAATTAGACTATCTATACTCTTCTCTCTTCTGTACTTTTGGCTGCCTCCACTCGGGATAAGGCCATACCCATCTGCTCAATCTTGACTCATTGGACGTATTGCTATTACGCGGCTCCAGCCACATTGCGAAATGTAGCCACCGTCAACCTGGACCCCACAAAACAATTAAACAGACTTTATTTCAGGCGAGTCCCGAACCTATTACCCCGGACCGGTCTGTATCTCCATTCTTAGCACTGGGGAAGTAACTATGACCAAGGGAAATGTTGGCCGGCCCGACCACTCACGGCTGGATTATGGAAGCTTTTGAAGTCCTCAAAGGACGACAATGGGTTAAGCAGAAGAGCTGTGCTATCTATCATGCTTCCATATCTATAGTCATATTAAGAGGTGAAGGGGGAAAAATGAATCAATCAAGGCATACTTCGACATGCCACTGAACAGCCAACTGAACATCCACGAATCCTATCAACTCTAGATCTATTCTCATTGAACCAACAGTTGAAAAGGCATTAATATTTCAGCCCATGCCTTATCTTCTCCCTATTTCTGCTCCATAATTTCCTCCTTCCGCTCCATCAGATACCCCTTCCTCCCCGACGCCGCCTCTACCCTCCCTCGCAACATCGCAACCTTCTCCTTCCACTTCCCACTAACAACCTCAACCTTTTTCACAACCTCCCCAAACTCCTTCTGCATCCACTTCTGCCCCCCCCTCAACCTCTTAACCCGCCGTTCCGCCTTTTCAAGTTTCTTCTCCAATATTCGTCGTTCCGAAACAGCCGTGTCTCTGATTGTGGCGACGACGTCGTCTAGCGGCGCTGTATTGTGAGGATCTAGATTACCAGCTTCGGATTGCTTGGCGATGTATATGAAGGTGGCTTTTATGTCGTTGGCGATAGAGGAGATGAGGGCGGTTTTTTGGGATGCGGGGAGAGTTGTTAGGTTTGTGAGGCGGAGGGTGCAACTTCCCGGGGAGAGGGATTTTCGCCGGGGCATTTGTTTTTATTTGTTATTTGAGGGACGTATACTTGTAGAAGTGTTGTAGTGTTATAGCTGAGATAAGCAATTGGGGTTAGGATATGTCGGGAGGATGGGATGATGGAATTATGGGCTATATAGGTCCTATAAAAAGGTAGGCACCACGGCCAATTCTTTAACGGGTAAATGCCTATGGTAGAGCGCGGTTCCTTACTTTGACATAGTCTGGTAGCCCTTCTTTCTTTGATTATAGAGCAAGGCCGCATTATATACAGACAAAGAGCTGTGCATGTGCCTATTGCCGTCTACGAACTACACGGGTTTGTTCCTTAGAGATCTCCGGAAGCATACTTAACAAAGAACAAAATCAATTAAGGATATACAAACTACAGATACAAACAACTACTGCAAAGCAGCCATGATCGCATCTCCAACCTCGCTCGTGCTAGCCTTTCCTCCCAGATCCCCCGTGCGAATCCCAGAGTCCAGCACCGTTCGAACCGCATTCTCTATTCTCTGTGCCTCTGCCTCCATGTTCAGCGAATAGCGGAGCATCAATGCCACGCAGAGGATCATGGCGACAGGATTGGCGACGTTTTTACCGGCGATTCTACATAATCAGTACAAACCGTGAAACGGATAATAGAAGGGTTAGGGTGGCTTACGTCGGCGCGGACCCGTGCGTCGGCTCATACAATCCATACGACTTCTCTACTTGTTTATCGCCGGGTAGTCCATTCAAACTGGCGCTAGGCAGCACGCCCAGCGTTCCAACGATAGAGCCCGCCTGGTCAGAGATCATGTCGCCAAATGTATTGTCTGCAAGGATGACACCGTTCAAGGCACGAGGATTTGTCGCCAAGATTAGCGATGCCGAATCAGCCAATTGGTGCACTATTTTTACGTTGGGGTACTCTTCCCTCATGGTTTTCTCGACGACCCGGCGCCAGAGTCGCGATGATGCGAGAACGTTAGCTTTATCGAGAGAGATCACTGGCCACGGGGGCTCATGACGGAGGGCTATTTCAGCGGCTAGACGAGTGATGCGCTGGATTTCGTGTTCGGAGTAGCCCCACTCGTCCATTGCTACACATATCAACATCCATACATACCAAAACGAAGGGGATTAGATTACCATAATCACTCTCTTCAACCTTTCTCCCAAAATATGCCCCTCCACAATTCTCCCTAACAACTACAAAATCAACCCCGTCGATAATCTCCTCTCGAAACGGCGTAAACTCCCTTGCAACAGACCGACTCGGCGAATCTGCCGAACAAGGCCTCAGATTCGCATAAATATCCATCGCCTTCCGCAACTGCAACAGGCCCCCCTCAGGACCATCAAGGCCCCTCCGTATATGGTCCCACTTAGGGCCACCGACGGCTGCAAAGAGCACAGCGTCTGAGCTCAGTGCTGCTTCTTTGACGTCGTCAGTGATGGATTTGCCGTGGGCATCGATGCTGCAGCCGCCGATTAGCTCGTTGTGGAGGATAAATTGTGTAGTTGGGGTTTCGAAGGTTTTGAGGACTTTGATGGCTTCGGTCATGATTTCGGGGCCGATGCCATCACCGGGGAGAATGAGGATGTTGAATGTTTTGGACATGGTATCTTGAGTCTCGAGCTCTGTGGTGTGTTTATTCAAATTTCGAGATTAATGAAGACACTAGCTGGATTATCTTGCTTGAGTATGCTTAAGTAGCCGTGGTATATCGGCTTTATGACCGACGCGCTGCGGGGTCCCATGTTCATCCCGGTGTTGGCCCGATGTCGGATGGGTATGGATAATCCATGGCGGCTTATTCTGGTATATAGTATTTTGCAAAGTCAATTATAGAATAACAACCCAGCGCCTGTACGGGGTACATACGGGGTGCATGCAAACATACATACTTCCCTATCGGTCCAAACAGGGCTAGCCCTGTCCCTCGAGTTTGCACAGTTTGCACCGTGGGCTGTCAGATCAAAGGCTTCACCTTCACCTACCCATACCCACATCTAGCCAACCACACCAAGTATAGAACATCACACACCATGCCGCAAATAGAAGAGCTCCCCGACGACTTCGATGAGTCTATCGACCTCAACAAGCAGCCAAAACCCGCTGCAGACCTCCCCGGCATGCCACCTGGCGGGGACCAGATTCCCTTCCCCATCAATGAGGAGCGCATGAAGGAGCTTGAGGCAATTGATCCGTTGGCGCCGAAGATGCCGCCGAACATGGCGTCGGTGAAGTCGCATACAAGGGAGGAGTTGTTGGATATGATGAATAAGACGCCGTTATTCATGACGGATATTAGCCAGGCGGGGGATGAGAGTGAGTTTCTTGTTTTCTTTTATTACGCTTTGAATTCTACAAGATAGCTTGCTAATATGTGATCTTTATAGACGGCGAAAATGTCATGCTCGATGCTCTCTACGCCCTGCAGAACGAAGGCACCCGTGGCGACGTTGCGCAAAATTTTCGCGAACAAGGAAATGAAGCGGCCAGAGAGAAGAGATGGATGGACGCGAAGGAATTTTATTCTAAAGCGATCGCGGTTGTTCTAGCAAAGGAAGACAAGTGGGATAAGCCGGAGAATCCTGAAGAGGACAAAAAGGTGTTGCGCCAGGCGGAGGAGGCTTCGTACATCAACCGCGCGCTGTGTCATTTGGAGCTGAGTATGGATGATCGCGCTCCACTAATAAGAATCGCGGACTGACTTGTATACTATTAGGAAACTACCGCTCATGTACTCTTGACTGCGCGTCTGCCCTCAAGCTCAACCCCGAGAACGTCAAGGCGTTCTATCGCTCCTCGACAGCACTATACGCCCTCGACAAGATCCCCGAAGCCCAAGACGCTGCTTCCCGCGGTCTCTCCCTCGATCCCGAAAACAAACCCCTCCAAGCGACAGCGACGAAGATCGCAGAGCGCAAGGCCGCCCTTGAGCGCATCGCAGCCAAGAAGAAGGCCGAAGCCGACAGAATCCGCAAAGAAACACAACTCCTCACCGTCGCCCTGAAGGCCCGAGAAATCCGTACTCGCAAGACCGGACAACCGCCGGAGATGGAGGATGCGGGGATACGCCTGAGCCCCGATCCTCTCTCGCCTGAGAGTACTCTTGAATTCCCCGCTGTGTTCTTGTACCCCACGGATGCGCAGTCAGATTTCATCAAGGCGTTTTCGGAGATGCACTCTATTGAGGACCATTTGGATTATATCTTCCCATTGCCGTGGGACACGAAGAAGGAATACACCATCGACAATGTGGAGTGCTATATGCAGACCGTTACCGGTGGGTTGATCAAGGCTGGCAAGAAGCTACCTCTTCTGCAGATCTTGAGCGGAGGCAAGGTCGAGGTTGTCGATGAACTGGTGACAATTTACGTGGTGCCTACGTCGAAGACTGGGAGGTTCATCTCGGAGATGAAGGCCAGAAAGGAGAGTGGAAGCTGAGCCCGTTGCTTTTTTGTGGCTTGGCACGACATGATGAAGCAATCCGATATGGGAACTACATAGCAGCCATCTTACTCGCGATAGCGATTAACCGCGCAGGTATGGGGTTTTATCCGGCAGCACCACGAGTCGCGGCGATGATGCCGCGATACGGTTGACACTTTGTGTCACTGCGAGCTGCAGATTCGTGTATATAAAATTCGGCTGAATTATGAATGGATACCCTGCATAGCTTTTGCTAGACTACTGAAATGAGATGCGATATTTCCTCGGTTGACCCGTGCTTTTAGGCAAATTCGGAGATGCTCCTCGAGTAGACTCAATTCCGATTCGACACTGACATGCAGTATATAATCAGCCTAGTTAATATCACACAGTATTCAACAAACAATGAAGGAAAATATATATCAAACTTTCAAGTGAAGAAATGTCACGGCTAAAGTGGTTGTATACTTGAAACAGGAGCGAGACACGGTGGATCTCCCAATCGACATCATATCTCTGGCGCACCGATGCTTTCTATTATCGGAAGAACATCTATATTGCCTTTACATTCAAATGGTTTAGCCTGACACTATAGTATGTTCTGACAGGTTGGTCCGTGGTTGTGTGGATTAGATGAACCTGCCCATGTATATGGAACAGGGTCGGTTCATCATGGATGTCACCTCTAGTGTATATAAAGGTCTACTCGGTATACTTGAGGTTAGTCTTTCTCGCTCCTGTCTTCAAGTATACCATACATCTGAGGTCGCGAAAATGGTCCATCTTTCTTCCATCGCAACAGCCCTGGCGGCTGGTCTCCTGCCGCAGCTGTATGTCCTATTCTCTCACCCCCTAATGCGACTGCAATATGCTAACACTCTATAGCGCAAATGCAGCCGGCCTCAACACCGCCGCCACAGCCAAAGGCCTCGACTACTTCGGAACAGCCACCGACAACCCCGAGCTCACAGACAACACCTACATGACCCAACTCAAAAACACTGATGACTTCGGCCAGCTCACCCCCGGCAACTCGATGAAATGGGATGCCACCGAGCCATCCCAGAACAGCTTCAGCTTCGAGAAGGGAGATGCTATTGCTGATTTGGCTGAGGCAAATGGGCAGAAACTGCGGTGCCATAATCTGGTTTGGTATCAACAGTTGCCTAGTTGGGTGTCTGGGGGGTCTTGGACGAATGAGACGCTTACGGAGGCGCTGAAGAATCATATTACCAAGGTGGTTACACATTATAAGGGGAAATGTTATGCTTGGGATGTTGTTAATGAAGGTATGTCTCATATTGGATTATATATAAGCTTCCTGGCTGAAAGTGCTAGCCCTCAACGATGACGGCTCATACCGCGAAAACGTCTTCTACCAACACATCGGTGAAGCCTACATCCCCATCGCCTTTGAAGCCGCCGCTGCTGCAGACTCCGACGCCAAGCTCTATTACAACGACTACAGCATCGAATACGGCGGTGACAAGGCAAATGCCGCTGAGAAAATCGTCAAATTGGTGCAGTCCTACGGCGCTAAAATTGACGGCGTTGGTCTCCAGGGCCACTTCACCGTCGGCCAGACACCCAGCAAGAAAGACCTTGCTAGCACCCTGAAGTCGTACACGGCGCTGGGCGTTGAAGTTGCGTACACTGAAATGGATGTGCGTATGGAGACGCCGTCTAGTAGCGATAAGTTGTCACAGCAATCGACGGACTATGCGAGCCTTGTTGGGGCTTGCGCGGAGACGGAGGGATGCGTTGGTATTACTATCTGGGATTGGACTGACAAGTACTCGTGGGTGCCGGATACTTTCTCTGGCTATGGCGATGCTTGTCCTTGGGACGAGAACTATAAGAAGAAGCAGGCGTATAATGGTATCCTCAATGCGCTTGGGGGTTCGTCTAGTGCTAGGAAGAGCAGGAAGAGTAAGCTCCTGTCCCTTTTCTTCTGAATTAAGCTAACGAAATACAGTGCGGCGAAACATGATCACGCGAGGCAACTGAGTTCATTTCTAGTATCTCTTTAGTTATTTAGGCGTGACCGTACAATGTATATTTATTCCTCAGGCATTAATACCTTTGTATGTATGGTTATGTTATATACCATACTGTACCGTAATATATCAGTATCTATTGATTTTTTCATCAGTAAAACAAATACAAAACATACAAACATACGCAGACCTTTCGACTTCAACCTCTCAGCATTATCCCATTATCACCACCTCCCATTCTCCTACTGCTCAGTCATTCTTTACTATTCTCACTTTTCCCTGATAATAACGTCTCCTCCCCGACTACGGCAACCGATACAGTAATTGATTGATCCAAAGCAACTCCACCGCCCCGTTGATCGCGTCTGTCCGAGTCTCAAGTCGATCGTGATTATTGCCCAGATCCAGCGCGCTACAGCAGCATAACTCCTTTTTTGCTCTTGCTCTCTTTTTGCTCTAAGCCAATCACGAGCTCTCGTCCCTCGTTATTTGCTTGTCGGACAGATCACTCGCTTTTTCCCTGCCGGCGTCTCTCCCGAACATTGGCCCCCCTGGATTCCCTTTCAGCGAGTCAGAGTTGAATATTGGTCACTGTGCGGTGTGCAGAAACGCAGGCCTAAATAATTAAAAACAAAAATTACAGAGTAGTAACAGGACCGGGGCGTCCCACTGGAAGACTAGTGCTGGTTATTCATTTCTGTCCTAGTCCGGGTTGCAATCAAAGAAAATGGATCCCAACGCTACTACGACATCGGCCCCTACGACCACCAGCACCGGCTATCCCGTCCTACAGAGCCACCATCAACAACAGATCCAGCAGCAGCAGCCGCAGCACTACGGCCAGCAGTTTCCTTTCCATCCCGGCACTTTCCCCCAAACCAAGCTTCCGTCCCAGCAACATTCTTTCGGTGCGGTGCCTTTTTCACAACCTGGCGGCCCCAGTGGAGCTATCATGCCAGCCGCTGGAGGGTTTCCCCAGCACTCCTCCGGTACGTTTTGGGATCTTCCTTTTGTCTTTCCTCTTTCTGTTGTCTTGTCTTGGGTCTTTGGCCTGTTTTTCCTTTTTTTCGTATCGGGTGCGGTGCCAGGATGTGTCCTGCGGTTGGTCTGGTTTGATGTTTGATTGAAAATCGGACTAGCATGGTGCATATTGCTACTTCTCCCTCTCTCTTTTACGCGCGCAGGCTATTAGCATCATGTAATACACACTGCGCCCACAAGGATTACTACTGGGCACTGCGCGTGAGAGGGTCGATATGTCGGGCGTCCGTGCCGTGATTATTGCAGCTGTAACGCTCAGAAACGTCGGGCTCGTCGAACAAAGACGCTAACGCGGATTGCTCTTTAGCAGGACCCCACGCGAACTTTACAGCACCTTTCGTTCAACCTTCTGTTCCCTCGAACATGAACCACTTCCTCCCACCTCAGGTTTCCTCTTCGACACCGAATACCCCGTCGACCGTAGCGCAAACATTTTCGCAGAATATGGCTTCGATGTCGGCGAATAATATGCTTCCTGGGCAGCAGCAGAGACCTTTTCAACACCAGTCACAGCAGTCGCAGCCGCAGCCGCATCAGCAGCAGCAACAACAACAACAGCAGCAACAGCAACAATTGCTCCAGCAACCACCCCAACAAGCACAACCGCAGCAGCAGCAACAACAACAACAACAGCAGCAGCAGCAACAGCAACAGCAACAGCAACCGTCAGCGACTCAATCCGGACCAGCAGCGGCCCGGGAAAAAGCGCGTGTTTCCGTCCTCTTAGAGCTTAACTCGATGCTGCTCCAAGAAGTAGTGAACCTCCAAACTGCAGGCAAAGCTGGAGCACCCCCTCAACAGCAGAGTTCGCAGGAATCGAACCCCTCTCCCGGATCCGACCAGGGCGCCAGCCCAGCGCAAAAACCCAGTCCCGAATACATCGAGTGCATGCGTCGGTTACAAGCAAATTTGGCTTATCTCGCGACTATCGCCGACCGGGCGAAGAAATCGGGCGGCGTTCCTCCGCCGGCGCCTGCTATTATGACGCCGCCTCCAAATATGCCGTCCATGGTGGAGGTTTATAACAAACTCAATGAGTTGTTCCCAAGATCTTACAAGGGTGGGATTGGGACGCCACAGCCGAGTCCGCTGGGTCTTCCTGGAAATGGGAAGCCTAGTCCGTCGCCCGCTGAGTCTGTCGTTTGAATGTTGCCATGTAATCGTTTTGTATTGTGGTTGAGGATTGGAGAAAGAAAAGCATTATACAACCTGGCCGGAACGACAGGACATTTGCGGCCACATGGCCAGTTAAAGGACATCACTCATTGCTTGTCATCGCGTTTCACGGCTCACGGTTGGCATCTAAGCAAGTCCGCCAGCGGCGATGGTCATGACCTGCAAATTTGTTGCTGATGCTTCTGCGATGAATATTGGGGTCGCACGAAGTCCATCAATCTTGGACCAACACCGAAAGGTCTTGACTTCTATTTTGAAATTACTGGTCGCTAAAAAAAACGTCCCTTGTACGATTACCATATGAAATTGGTGTGATCCTCGTGGAGATCAGGTCCAAAGTGATCGCGTGCCACTACAACCATGAGGAACAAGAATTGGACGTGTGTCCGTTGTGTACTATATTGTATAGATTGAATCGACATCAAGAATATATACAGATCACTCTATTTGTATTGTATGAGGCAGTCCAGTAGTGTCCACCGTAATGATAAACACCTCGAAAAAGAAAACACAATAACCCCGACTGCAATGATCTGAAGCGCAGGCGGTGCTATATCCTAGTCGTGGTTGCTTTTGGGGCATGTCAGAAGTAGTTCGGAGCACAGTCCAGGCCTTAAGTTGTTTGCTCTCATTTTCCCTTTTCAGACATTCCGGGACCCTATCCTGGCCACCTCAATAGTCTTACTCTCTATCACTCTCTTATATATAGTTCCTCCTCGCTTCGCATTGGACTGCATGTGAATGTCGTACGCCCTACTCTCGTCGTGCAGAAGGAGTTTCTCTGTTGCTACTGTGCCGCAGTCTTCTCCTCACCACCGACACCACCACTACTTTAGACCCCTCCGTCACATCAACAACTCCCCTCGTTCGTTTTCCCTTTCGTCTTCAGGGTCCTCTCCATATTTGTCCTATTCTTCCGCCTTTACTACCAATACCACCCCGTCGTGGGCATTCCCTTGGTCTCCCCATCGGCCGCTTACAAAGAAGAAGATTCTGCGGTCGAGCGCGTCCTCGTACACTCTGACAACAGCTTCTTCTACTCGAAATTTCACAGTCCTCGCATACCCTCCTCGTCGTCCTAGTGCACTATCCTCTACCGCTTCCGCCAACCGACTCGTCTCCCGTCCAAACCAGTTCCAAGCTATGAACGGCGCCGATGACGCCAGCGCAAAACGCAAGCGCAGCTCCGCCGCGGCAGCGCCCACCAGCGTCGATGCAGAAACACGACCCGCAAAACACCTAAAACCAGAGCTCTCTACATCTACAGACGGCGCACTACCAAGCGAGCTAGTATGCGACTACGAGACGGAAGAAGACGCGAGTCGGCTGCATGCGATTGGGTCAACGTCGGCGGATTCGCCTGAGTGGCAGGCGACAATTGAGAATGTGGTGAAGAGTGTTGTTTCAATTCATTTCTGTCAGACGTGCTCGTTTGATACGGAGTTATCGATGAGTAGTCAGGCTACGGGGTTTGTGGTTGATGCGGAGCGTGGGTATATTTTGACGAATCGGCACGTTGTTTGCTCGGGGCCGTTTTGGGGATATGTGATTTTTGATAACCATGAGGAGGTGAATTCTTTGTTGAGGTTATTAGTGGTGTGAGGATTGTGCTAATTGTTGGTAGTGCGACGTCCGTCCTGTATATCGAGATCCGGTCCACGACTTTGGATTCCTTCAATTCGACCCCAAGAAGATCCGTTATATGAATTTGACAGAGCTGAAACTTCAACCTGCCGCCGCTCGGGTAGGCTCTGAGATTCGGGTTGTGGGTAACGATGCTGGTGAGAAACTGAGTATCTTATCTGGTGTGATCAGTCGACTGGACCGGAATGCGCCCGAATATGGCGAGGGTTACAGCGATTTCAACACGAATTATATTCAAGCAGCAGCCGCTGCAAGTGGTGGAAGTTCAGGCAGTCCTGTTGTCAACATTGATGGCCATGCGATTGCTCTGCAGGCTGGTGGTCGCGCAGATGGCGCGGCAACAGATTACTTCTTACCCTTGGACCGTCCTCGTCGCGCGCTGGAATGCATCCAGCGAGGTGACCCAGTCACTCGCGGCACGATCCAAACACAATGGATTTTGAAGCCTTTTGACGAATGTCGCCGTCTGGGGTTGACCCCGGAATGGGAGGCTGCTGTCCGTCGGACGACACCGTCCGAGACCAGCATGCTAGTTGCCGAGATCATCCTCCCTGAAGGCCCTGCTGATGGTAAATTGCAGGAAGGGGATGTGCTTTTGCAAGTCAATGGCAGTCTTCTCACGCAGTTTATCCGGCTAGACGACATCCTCGATACGAGTGTTGGGGGGACGGTAAAGTTGTTGGTTCAGCGGGGCGGGCAGAATGTGGAGCTCGAATGCGCAGTAGGTGACCTCCATGCCATCACGCCTGATCGATTTGTGTCTGTGGCAGGTGGTACCTTCCACGACCTCTCCTACCAGCAAGCTCGTCTGTATGCCATTGCTACTCGAGGCGTCTACGTCTGTGAGGCAGCTGGCTCCTTCAAGCTCGAAAACACCCTGTCAGGATGGCTCATCGATTCTATCGACAAGCAACCAACACGAAACTTGGACGAGTTTGTCGAAGTGATGAGGAACATCCCCGACCGCTCGCGTGTGGTCGTCTCCTACCGTCATATCCGGGACCTCCACACCCGGGGGACCAGCATAATATATATTGACCGACACTGGCATCCCAAGATGCGTCTTGCCGTTCGTAACGATCACACCGGCCTTTGGGACTTTTCTGACCTGGCAGGCCCCATCCCAGCCCCTGCTCCTGTTCCCAGGAAGGCTGACTTTATCCAACTCGACGGCGTAAAGCAGCCAGCTGCGGCAGAGATTGTGCGTAGTTTCGTGCGGGTAACATGCACGATGCCGCTTAAGATCGACGGGTATCCGCAAAGCAAGAAGACGGGCTTTGGGTTGGTTCTCGATGCTGAGCGTGGTCTGGTTCTGGTCTCGAGGGCGATTGTGCCTTATGATCTCTGCGACATTAACATCACCGTGGCTGATTCGGTTATCGTTGCTGCCAAGGTTATCTTCCTACACCCGTTGCAGAACTATGCCATCATTCAGTACGATTCGAAACTCGTGCAGGCACCGGTTAAAAGCGCTAAGCTCAGCACCGAGTGCATCAAGCAGGGACAAGAGACGATTTTTGTCGGATTTAACCAGAATTTCCGTATCGTGGTCTCCAAGACGACTGTTACCGACATCACGACCGTGTCGATTCCCGCGAACGCTTCTGCGCCGCGGTATCGTGCAATCAACCTGGACGCCATCACCGTGGACACGGGACTGAGTGGACAGTGCACGAACGGCGTCTTGATTGGCGAGGATGGAGTGATCCAGGCGCTGTGGCTGAACTATCTCGGTGAACGCACGGCCAGTTCGCACAAAGATGTCGAGTATCATCTCGGCTTCGCGACGCCGTCGCTGCTGCCTGTTACGAACAAGATTACCCAAGGAATTACACCGAAGTTGCGTATCTTGAACATGGAAAGCTACGTCGTCCACATGAGCCAAGCGCGCATCATGGGCGTGTCTGAAGAATGGATCCAGAAAGTCACCGAGACCAATCGCTCGCGGCACCAACTCTTCATGGTGCGCAAGGTAGATGTCCCGCCACCATCTTTCCAGCCCCCGCCGGGCTCCGAGTCGCTGCAAGAAGGCGATATCATCCTAACTCTAGATGGCCAACTCATCACCCGCGTCTCCGAGCTTGATATTATGTACGAAAAGGAAGTCCTAGACGCACTCATCGTGCGAAATGGCCAGGAACTCCGCATCCAAGTCCCCACAGTCCCGACAGAAGATCTCGAAACCGATCGCGCCGTTGTCTTCTGTGGCGCTGTACTCCAGAAACCGCACCATGCTGTCCGACAGCAGATCTCAAAACTGCACAGTGAGGTCTACGTTAGTGCGAGGAGCCGCGGTTCTCCATCATACCAATACGGTCTCGCGCCGACAAACTTCGTCACTGCGGTAAACGGTATCTCGACACCCAACCTTGATACCTTTGTGAAGGAGGTTAGCAAGATCCCGGATAACACGTACTTCCGGCTTCGCGCGGTGACCTTTGATAATGTTCCGTGGGTTGCTACTATGAAGAAGAACGATCACTACGTATGTCCCTTTCCCCATCATTTTACTATTCAGACGAGCCCCTACTGATGAAATGTGTAGTTCCCCATGTCCGAATACATCAAAGACCCCTCCACACCAGCAGGCTGGAAGACCGTCTCGCATGACAAACACAAACACAAGGATGGTATCGCGCCTGACTCATCTAATTTGAACCCCGATGCTATGGACGAGGGGTTAGAGGATGTTAGTGATATTGAGCCGGATGAATAGGGTAGAGTAGCGGTTTGTGTTAGTGATGGGTGAGTATATATGAGATGAGATGACAATATAGTTACTTGAAAGTCGTTGCTCTCCTGTCTTTTGCTATAAAGTGTATAAATGCTTTCGGGCCTGGGGTTGCTACTGTGTCTATCTGTGCGATGTGTGAAAATAGTTTAATTTATAAAACGAGCACCTGTGAATTCCTTCGCGACCCAGCTACAACTTCCGCCTCTGAAATAGACAGGACATATTTGCCAATAGTAAATCAGCTTCTGACTGGCCGAAGGAAGACTGAATTGGACAAGCTAAAGCAAGAATTCCATGAAATAAATGGTGTTATTATCTTCCTGGCCAGTCCGCTTTCAGTCTACGCACTCACAAGATCCATTGATCAAGAGAACGCATTTCGAGTGGAGTCATTCAAGTCTGTCTTCAATGTACCAGACAATCCAGATAAACCTGTCAGAATTCTGCATTTATCACTGCGGGATTTCTTACTCAATACTGAAAGAGTGTTCCGTGTGTGAGAACGAGACGCACTGTAATATTGCTTCCTGCTGCCTTCGCATCATAAACACCAGCCTCAAACACAATCTTTGTGGTCTTTCAAGTCACGGAA